CCCGGTGTGAGCTTCACACGATGTGTCAAAATAGCTGGGAAAAGGCTAAATTCTGCGGTTTTCACCAATAAATTTAGCGCAGCACGTTCTACAAAAGTTATGCTATCTTTTTGCAAGTCGTTTTGCAGTAAAAATCACTTTTTTTAAAAAATCGGTGTTACAAGGTCATGAGACAAAATTTCGATGGATATTTTTCGATATACAATTTGACATGATTTCATGTAACTCGGTTCCGTAGTGCTGACATTGCATATGTCCTTTATCCAAGGAGGAAAAGGCGGAATGGGCTGGAATGGGCCATTTCAGGCCATTCCATAACATTCCATACCATTCCAAACATTTTTGGCCATTCTGGAATGGTACGGAATGGCCTGAAATGGCCCATTCCAACCCATTCCGTACTATTCTATACCATTCCAAAACGCTTTTTCTCCCTTGCCTTTATCCAGAAGGCAGAGAAAAATGGCATTTGCCTGAAAAAACTGAGGATTCTGGAAAGTCTCCCACGATTAGTAATAGTTAAAAGAAAAACGTTTATGGCATTCAGCAACGCATATCTCGAAGTATATTTTTCTTCATTTAAATATGGAAACAGTACACTTTCAGGTTTTTGTTGAATGTCCGCATGGATGGTCACTGTGCTCCACGGTTTGAGATAGCTCTGAAATCGAATGGAATATACGTAATAGATCACGTTCAGAGTTGGAACCGGCACCCTAATCAGTCTACCGGACGGTTACCGATCTGGTCCGGTTGACTTTTTAAACCGGTCGGTTGACACTGATTTTTTAACGGTTGAGACCGAAGAAAACATCACTGATTTCCCATGAAAGTTGTTCACGAAATGTCGTTTTTCTGCCTGGGAAAAATCTTTTCATGCTACATTCTAAAAATTGGTTTCTGTTCGACTCTGCTTCAAGAAAAGTGAGTTTCCAGCCACCTTTTTGCGAAATGCGTTGCCGAGTTTCTATTGGTTAAAAACTTTCTAGAAATCAGCCAGTTTTTCACCAGTTTTGGCGTGTTTTTAACCAGTACTTAACCGGCCGATTCGGTCGGTAGAATAAAACTCAACCAGTTCCAACTCTGATCAAGTTGATTCTAGTGTCAAGGTTTTTTTCGAAGAAAAATTCAAAGATTTGGTGAGAATCATTTACGAAAATTGCGATTCTCAGACTGTTTTCAACTAATATTCAAAGATTCGCAAAATCAATAGAATCAATTGAAAAGTCCAGGATGCGGAGTATTTAGTTTATTGTATATCTATTTACAAAAAAAATCTATAAAACAACTTTATAGAATCTTATCGCTTTCTCAAGAGTTTCACAGAACACTTTGGATCAGAAACATGGTTTTTCAATTTTTCGATCGTACAATCATGTTTAACAGACAAAAGTATACAAATTCCGAATTTTTCAAGTCTCTCTGATGTTTTATGTTTCCATTAGTTCAGTAGATAGACAGTAGTTGGTTATTTAAGCATTAGCATAGTGAATCAGTTATCCGTGATAAACATAATAGATATCGAAATAAAAACACAGTTAAATGTTTCTCTTCATTTAGTCTTTATTTTTCATATTATCCTCATCATTAACCCTGAAGTTTTCTTATGATGATTTATTTATCGCGATCATATTTTTGAGGATAATGATCACAGATGTCACGATAACTTCCGACAAATACTTATCGCGATCTATCGAGATACAGATATTTACCGCCAAACGCTAAACGATTTGTGTATTTCGATAATTAAGCGATTACAGAGCGAGAGACAATGGTCCTAAAACCACTCATCTTGTTTTATATACTGCACCATAACGTTCGCAATCAAATAAATTTCGGTTTTTCTGCAGATGAGCAGGTTGCCAGCAATCGAAAAACATAAAAGTTTTCTGCTTTTCTTTGACATGGTTGGATAGAGCTCATTGAGTTAGTGGAAATGAAATATTTTTAGACTCTTTTTTGTACCGAAAACTTTTAAAATATTGAAATTTTTTGAATGCGGAAACCGTGAATTGACACATGAAAAATATAGTTTTTCTTGCTTTTTGCTGGACAAACAGAACTGCTGGTAGTTTGACTCTAGTTTGACGCAAAAAACCATTGATCAAAACTTCGTTTAATAGTCCTGAACGTACTCGACACGCGTCGACAAATGTCTACATCAAGATCTCAGCCAGTAAGAAGTTCCGATATACATTTATAACTGAACTTAGACTTCCGATTAATACAATTTGTGCATAACCGTTCAATTTTTTCCATTCATTTCTGATGTTTTCTACAAACTTAGCCACACTGTAGAGTGAAACATGCGATCGATCTACTGAGAATCACTTACTACGTTTTTTCGATACCGGCGTCAATCGTGCAAATCGTTCTAGCCTTATCCTTCAAAACACAGGTATCTTACGCCTCATGTTTCGTATTTTTGTGTCCCATGTTTCGTCAATATTTTTCACGTTTTCTTCTCTGCTTCGTATGTACTTATGTGTACTTTCAGATTTTCATGTCTACAAACTTTACGAAAATATGTTAACGTACCGAAATATCTAGTTCATTTTCAATAAAATCGAACAAAAAATACGAATCAAAAGTACAGCTTCTTATAGAAGGCTTGGATAAAGGTAACGACGTGACGTTTTTAACACACTAATTCCGTTTTTTTGAAAAAACTATAATATCTAGAGCGTTTATTTTACCGTCATTCTATGCAACTCGGAATTCTGCATCTATACTGAAAAAACGAGCCAAATCCATTTACGTTTGCGCGCTACAGAACAGATTTTCAGACGGTAACGCTATGACAAAAACCGACCTCTTTTATTAAGAGAGTCAGTTTAATGTCTATTTTTCTGCAAATTTTTCGAAGGAAAAAATAAAACTGTCAAGATAACGTTTGTAGAAGAGGTTACGATTTACACATTGGTAAAAAAATTTCTGAAAATGAGCTACGGTCGGTTAGAAAAGCCCTTAAACTAAAGTAACCCCTTGACATTTTTGGTAACTACGTGCCATATTGTGACATATTCTTTTTAAAGATAAACATTCGAATTTTTATTAATACAGAGATTATCACAAACAAAATTAATAATGCCATAGTAGTTCGGTGGCCTCTTTTTTACAACAAACATCAAATTCTGAGGTGTCCTAGTCCATCTGACCAGGGTTTACGTTTCTTTTACGGAGCAGGAAAATGAAATAAGATTGACACTAAGATGAGTTATACATCATTCGATTGGGAATTTTATGCAGATTCCGTTTTTGTATGAATTAAAAAGTTTTGTAGCGAGCCTCCGGAGAAACATTAAGAAAATTCTGGATAATCTTTGAACAATTCTAAAACAAATTGCAGCATTATCTCAGTAAAACCATGAGAAAGTTTAATTTTAATTAGATGGACGTGTAGCCCGTTGTCCACTCTACAATTCCACGCAAACCATGCAACTCCCGCTCTCAAAACTAGTTATAAGAAACAGTGCGTATTTTCGCCAGGATACTTTTGGAACAATTTAAGAGACATGTAAATCCTACATCGCTACATAAACAATACGTTTATGACATTTTCAATCGTCTAGTACCACATTTGCAGTCTAGTGTAACGTATCTGTTCCACCATCTGTTTTGGATTCTTTTGGTATTAGCTGCGTCTTCAGCGTCTCTTTCTTTTTGCAGATTTTAACGAAACATATTCTAAAAGTTTTTAACGGGTATTTAATTTTTAAATTATTATCGGGTATTTTCCGAAGATTTTCGAGTTTTTCTTAATTTGTTCGGTTGCTGTGTGCCAGAATCAAATAATTTAGTCATATTCGGAATAAGCGTGAAATTCTGCATCGATCAATGTATAGTTTGAGCTGGTTGGAGGAAACACCATTATTGGCAAAAAAACTGTATTTTATACAAATTCTGTCACGACGTTACCAAGATTTCCTTAACAAGGCATTTCTTCACAAGAAAAGTTAGTGGGTTAGATAGCCGGTCAAAAATTGTCTATAAACCATCACTTTGGTAGCAAAAATATACTAAATAACTTGGATGAAAAATCTTTTTCAACGCTGAAGACGCTTTGTACGCGATGTCTGCAAACGATTATTGAATGTCTTATAACCTCGAACCTTTAGTCTATAGGCGACTAAAAAATATGTTTCGATATACTATCGACTACGCTCTACAAAATGGTATAAGTCGTTTTGTCAGAATCTGATTTTAAATCTTGATCACTGAAGTGTCGCGTTACGCGTCCAAGCCGTAGATCACATTAATCAAATTCCTATCTCAAACAGTGGCGATAAAATGTGCCTTTCATTCCTGCCTAGGTCGATCGTTCCGACCGCCGGAACCGTCGCAGAACCGACCGGTTTCATTGTATTTCGTCGTCGTTCCGGTCGTTTCCTTTATGTTTCGGCGTGTTCCTACCACCGGATTCCGTCGGGTTTCCGGCTCGGAAAATTTCGACGACTTTTTCGACTGGAACCGGTCGGAATACGTCGGAAACAGAACGGAACCTGCTACAGGAATAGTCAACCGGAATCCGGTTGCAAGGAACACGCCGGAACATAAAAGAAACCGGCCGATTCCGACCGGGTAAGAATGACCTGGGTAACAGATCACTTAAAAGGTAACAATGAGAAGACAATGATCTACAGTACTGACTTATCGATCAGTACATAGCCCAACATTTGATATTTGTGTGTATTTTCAATTTCTTGTATTGCCTTTATTTCAGCGGCACTGACAAGTACAGATGAATTCAGTCAAAAAAGACTGGAATCAGCTTGTGACTCAATATGAAACTTCAAAACGTATAAAGTCACGTACATGCAATACCTACAACGCGACTTCTTATAATGAGACGAACGTTGAGAGATGCGGATGTAAACGACTCGTGCGCGATCATAGCTTCGAAGGTGCACCAAATAAATTCTCGCGAAAAAACAATGAAGAGCCGATAACGAGACCGTGGAATGAGTTATCACACACAGCCCAAGTTCCACTCACCGTTTATGGAACATTACCAAACAAATCAAAGGTATAAACATATACTTTGACAGAGACGAGGTCGAACGTCTGCGAAGGATAGGTTTGTAGACCGTTCTGCAAATAAGAGAGGTCAACGTTCGTTTTCGGTTTAGTTTCTCCGATGTGATATTAGAACTAAAGTGCCTGATATATACAATTTAATCGTCGAAGATTGCGGTAAACCAAGTTTAATAATGAGCGTTTATGGTGGTGCAAAATATTTTGAACTGAATGAGAATTTAGAAAAAAAGTTTATGAAAGGCATTGTTCAAGTGGCAACAATTGCAGGTACTGTGACATGTATCTGTGTAATACTGGCGTTCATCTTTCTCTTCTGCGTAGATGCATGGATATTAACAACAGGACTGAACAGTGGTGTGTCAAAATTGGTGGGTGACGGTATTTCATCTTACCGTTTGTTATCAAAGCATCCCAAAGAAGTTGTTGCCATTGGGCTGACGCAGTGGGGAAGTTTGACAGATGCCACAAGAAAGCTGTTGAAACAGGTAGAGAGTTCGCATTATTGTTAATTCGATATGCTGAAGTGTAACCGCATTATTGCGATAGTTTACTTCTTCCGTTTTTTTTATCTCTACATTTCTACAGAGTTTTGTGTTCACTTGAGTTTTTCATTCACTTCTCTCGAGAAACATAATAATAAACAATTCTCATCAACTTGAGTTGATGGTGGGACACAGTGCGCACCCAGTAGGACATTTGATCGATGCACATTTTCCGGTTTAAAGATGGATAACATACTTGGATAGATGGGCTATTTATTGCCATAAAATATTTTGTTTCAAGTGCTTATCATCCATCATTTTTCTGAATTCGAGTACACTTTTAAGAAAAAATAGTCATATTCGAAATCAGCGCGTCGAGTTGCACCAAATCATGTATAACACAATAAGTTTTGTATAAAATAACGATCCATCCAAGTTTTGTCTCATGAATCTGCAACACCGATTTTCGGACAAATTGACTTTTATTGAAAATGTTTATTTTTGCTTGAATAACATCAGAAATGACTAAGCAATGATCATTATTTATGAAAGAATGGTTTAGAAGTAAAAAACGTCTGCTGAGAAATGCACATTATATGAGACTCTCCTTCTCTAACTTCAGGCCGATACTCGCTTCTCTGATGTTTGCATTATTTCGCAAAAGATATGCCTTAACATCCTCTTTTATACCTTTTCGTATCAATAACGTGAACTTCACCGTATTAGAACAGGCCTATATCTAACGCAAAATATTGTCTTGGAAGCAAAGACACTTGACTCAGCACATTCTTTAGTCGAAAATTAAATCTAACGGGTAACGGCCAGAAAAAGTAGTTTCTGCTATTCATGTCAATAAATCCTCAAGTATATCACTTAGAACACGGCTAATATATTGCAACTCTTCACTTTGAAAATATAAAATATCTAATGAATAAGCAAAGCACTCGCAATTTAAGTGCAGTTCGATTACTTTCTACTGCCCGTTCCAAAATACAAGGCAGGCGGTTGCTTTTTGAATAACTCTGGAGCGGAAGAAGATAGAGGCTTGCGGTTTTCAGTTTTGAATAGCCAAAACCTGTACGCATCTGCCCACACAAGTAGCAATGATTTTTGAAAAAACTCAAAGACCGGATTTTGAGCAGATCTTTGGAAAACCGCTTTGGATCTCGGAGAACTGA